GCCCCTCCCGCCGGGCCCCGCCGCCGCCGCGCCGCGCCCGCTCCCCAAATACACCTTGGCGGCGCCGGGAGCGGCAGCCGCGCCTGCCCAGAGCCCCTCGGCGGGGCTGCGGCCGCGGGCACCCCGCGCCATGGTGAGTGACGGAGGCAGGGAGGGAGCGAGCGAGAGAGCGAGCGGCGCCCGGGGCGCGGAGAGGGGCGGCGGGGACCCTGGACAGCGCTGGGACGGGGCGCCCGGCCGGGACCGCGGGGCGCGGCCGGGGCTCTCTCCGGCCGGGCGGTGATCGGTGCTGAGCCCCGGCAGCGGGCGGGGGCCGCGGGAAGCCCTCTCCCCTCAGCGCCCCGAGCCCCGTGTGCGCCGTGCTCCGAGCCAGACACGGGCGTGAGCGAAACCGGGATCGATTCGGGGCTGGAAGCGCTCGGGGAGCCCTCTGAGGGCTCCGGCCACGAGCGGTACTCCGGCGGCCTTTGTGCATTGTGAGGCTTTCTAAGAATTCGCGAATTGCTGATGCTCGTCAAGGTAATTAAAGCCATCCAGGCTGGTGTTACTGCGTTATGCTTAGGTAAGGTTTCTTACCCGGTTTTCAGAGCAAATTCTATCATTCCACCTCATGAATCAGACACCAGCCTGATATTTGATCACATACTTGATGCTCTAACAATAACTTCATCTCTGCGTCTGCTATTCCAGTTATTTCTGTCTCGTAGGAAGAATAAATGAACCGCCAAACTGTGTTGCATTCATGACGATTAGCAGTTTTTCAGTCAATTTTCTCCCTCTTTCCATTTCTTCAAGACTTCAGGCTCGTAATCCGTTTTCTGAGTGAATAGGTTTGTTTCTGTGGCTAAAGCTCAGTGGTCATTACTAGCCTACATTCAGTATTCCCTTTATAAAATCATCACTATCTATAATCATGAGACACTTGAAAACTTTTTCTCTCATGTAGAAAGGAGTGCTTTTATACATCTTTTAAACGTCATATGTCGTGTCTCAAGCTTGATCTAATGTTGCTTCTAAAATGGTTCTATTTTCAGAGCTGGTCACTTATTCTGGGGATGTAGTAAGATGGCTTTCTAAGTTCAAAGGATGATTTAATAGGGAAAAAGTCATAAGCAAGGATGCAGTGTATCTATAATGCTGTATTTGGGCTTTTCACTTCCACTGGACTACAGGTTACCCTGTGCTGCATGTGGGTTGCTCTGAAGAGAGATGTTCAGACATTTGCTTTTTGGAATACTAGTAGGAAAACCAAGATTTTTATTCACTTGGATTCTCCATTATTAAGTCTGAGAATACAGAGCTACAGAATAATGTAACAGAGGATTTTTTTTCATAACAAGTGTAGGAGTTTAATTATATTTGTATGAATAGAACAAAGTGTTTTACTTATTTGGAAGTGGTCTAATCTTAGAATTTTTCCTAAGACAGAACTCCCAATGGAGCCACTCCCTTTTCTTGTAGTTAGAATTAAGATGATTTGTTTCCAAACTACAAAAAGTAGTCATAAGGAAACATACACTTTAAATCATAAATGGGTCTACTACTTTTCTAGGGTCAGGAACAAAAGGTGGTGACAGGCTGTACTGGGAAGAGATTCCTGTAAAAGACCATTTTACATAATTAATCAGAGAAGATAAGCAATTCAGGCATCCAGAGAATGTGTGCAAATGTGTTACAAATGTTCTCTTTGTAGGGAAGAGAATTGTAGAGAAGTTTTTTGCTTGGATTGTGTTGCTCTGGAGTGCTACATATGGCCATACGTTCTGATGACTGTTCTCTTTGCTTTGCCAGTAGCAAGAACCTCAAATGAACCAGGTGGTTGTAAGGAAGCACGAGGATTATGTAGGAAAGATACAAAAACTTTGTGCTCCCATTCTTAAAAAAATATTAAAAAAAAAAGCCTTTGCTGAAATCATGCTGATCCAAAGCAGGCAGGAAAAGTATGGACGGAGAGAGAAGGAAAGCACATTTTCAGATTTCCTGGTTGTACTTCCTTTTTCTGTGGAAATATATAGCTTGCAGCTATTCTGAGTCATGACAATGCAAGATTATGAGGCAAACACTGGAGGAGAAGGTAAGGAATTTAGTTCTACAGTGGTTTTTTTCCCCCTTTTTGACATGAATAAAATGGCTCACCGAGGTCTCGCTGCCCTCTCTTCCACTGGTTCACTTTCTGAGTACTCAAATTAATCAAATTTTTAATAAAACACTAAAAATGAGAAGTCAGGGTCCATAAAAGTAAGTACTCAAGTTGAGTATTTTGGTTTTGCTGGGATTAATGCTTTTTTTTAAAAAATCTGTCCTTAGCCTTCTATGACAGTCTGTTTCAAAACAGATCCCATAGTAAAATCAAAACATAAGTAAGAGTTGATAATAAAATCTAATATGCCAAATATCAGTAGCAGTCAAAACCTGGTTATGTCATGCTATAAAAGATAAAATATCAGTGCTATTATGAGTATGAATGCCATCTGTTTAAAATTCTAAAAACCAAAAAAAAAATACCAAGACTTAAAATAAGTAGTCCAAGATAGAATTTGTAGCAAACACAACTATTTTCCTCTTAACTGAAATGAGCTGTTAACAAAAAATCCTGTAAATCATATTGTACTTTAAAAAATCCCCAAAAACTAAAAATCAAGCACCTCAGTAATCTAAGCAAGTATATGCTACATTCTGAATTATCCACAAGGAAATACGTGTAAGGAGGTACTGGCTGTATTTTGTATCTATTTTGTAGACGAGCAACAGGTTTTTATAAAGAAAAAGATATATTTTTTCTTTATAAAAGAAAAAGATATATTTTTTCTTTATAAAAGCTTAAGCATTTTAGAAAAGTTCTGTATAAGTAAAAAGAAATCTTATTTTAAAAAATTCTTAGAAACTACAGAACATGATTTAAAGTATTTTATTGTAATGTTATTTAGAAATCATTACATTTCAGATGGCACATTTTGTTAACAAATGAAATTTGGGCCATTGGACAGCTGCCATTAGAGTTTGTTTTCTGGGATTCCTTGCACTTTTTGTACTATTTACTTTTTAAAGACCTTTATTGTCTATGTGTCTTAAAATCTACTGCATTTACGTAGATGTTTGCTATTGCAATTAAGACTTTTAGCATTTGAAATTAAATTAGGGCCAAATCTCATATTTGGCATTACCTTGATGATTCTTTCTAGCATGTCTTCACCATTTGAGATGGGGCTGTATGAAGTTTGTATATTGTATGGCTGTATGTATGATGCATATTCAGTGTGTCTTCCATGAATAGTTGTAGGACAAGTAGAGATTCAAGTTTATCATTAAACATTATATTTTTAAGTCAGTTCAAGGCATCGGTTTTTGTTCAACAAAGCAACACTGTTGAGGGCAGAATGTTAGTATCTATTTAATTTTAAAATTACAATAGGATTTAAGCATGTGCTTAAATTGGCTAGGGCTTCTAGCTATGGTGTAAACAACAAATTAATTTTTACTAATAAAGGCAGCAAAATTTGCTAGAAAAAGCAGATTTTGTATAAGGGTTTTGTTTATAGATTCACATGCTTTGAGACAACTGAAAAAAAACATTTTAATATCTATAGTTAAGCCTTTTACTTGTGCCATAGGTACTGACTGCAGCTCATTTGGTGCTATGCTGTTCTTCCATTTTTTTTGGTTGTCCTAATCGGGTGATGGCAGTTGTAGGTCAGTGCTAGGAAGTGGCTCACCACACAGGATATTTATTTTTGTAGATGTGGTGTTGAGAGCAAGCTGATATAAACTCCCTTTTTGTAGGAGTGCACATTTCACTGTTCTGCTGCTTCATGACCTAAGGCAGAGCGAATACGATCCCTACAGATGAATTGTACTTCACCACAGAGAGGCCTCACCACGTCCTGTCCATTGATGCAGACCCAGGCACCTCTGAGCTTCAGGGCCTCCACAGGCCTTCAGGAGAATTCCACCCTATCAGAGCATTTTGTGATACTCACTTCCAGTTGTTTTTTATTAATGTTTCCTGTTTTATGATGGTTTTGTTAAGTGGAATAGATGCCCTTACTAAGAATATTACTGCTTCCAGATTTAATTGAGATTAATTGTATTTTAACTGACATTCTCAAATGCTCCCTTCCATGGTTCAGGCCTTTACTGCTACTTTTAAGCACTCTCCCAGCTACTTGAACTTGGCAGTATTGTGCTACACATTATTCTTGATTTTACTGCTCTGACTCTTTAAATTAGTTCCTTTGTATTACTTAAAGTCAATTTGTGAATTGATTTCCTTCTTGCATATTCGCTGTTCACACTCGAAGTAGCTGTTCCAAGAGAACGGTGTCCTGCTAGCAGAAGCATTCAAATGAAACCCCTTGTGCAAGTCAAGCCCAGGAGGATAATTCCTTTCAGGGAGAGCACTAAGCCCAGATGACAACCAAGCTGTGACCTTGTGTTATTTCTTAGAGGGCATTTCCTTCATGAGAGCCCCTGTCTCTACTTCCTACACATATGTATCTGCCTGTGAACAGAGTGCTCTGCTGTTCCTGCTTGAGTGACAAGGCCACTTTTTCTCTGTCCTAAGGCAAGGGGAGAAATGCCTGGAGACTTGCACTCCTGTGAGGGGCTGTGGGGCACAGAGCTGTCTGGAGCCCTCCCTTGGGATGGTTTGGCTATGCCTCGCACTTCACGCATGGCTATGCCCATTGATTGTTTCAGCTAAGTCCATATAGAAAATAGGTCAGCCATGCAGTGGCTCAGGAAGAGAGCTTCAATTGTGTAGTTGTAATCTAGAAACAGGACGTGTGTATCATCTTGGAGGAGACTGGAACCACTTCCAAAGATGTTATCAAGCATTGTGGAATCTAGCCTTTGGAGAGCTATTTGTATTAGTGAGCTGCAGGGAATATCCCATGCAAGCCATCCAATTGCCTCCCTCTGAATAAAGTTAAAATTTCTTGTTAGAGGGCCACATGCTAAAATTCTTTGATTATTTTCCCCTCCACAAATAGAAATTGAAAGAAACATACATTTATGAAGTGAATCTGTTCCTCAGCCCAGTTCTGAGTTATTCAGAACAAAAATATATCATGCTTTTGGGGAAAATGTATTTTGTGGGAATCTTGCTGGTGTAATTCTTGAATGTCACTCATTCCAGAGAGTGCAGTTTTAGTTGCTGCTAAACTCTCCACTTTTAATAAATGATAGCACAAAATCAAGTTTCTCAATAGTATATTAGGCAGTCATCACTGCACAACACACTTTTGTCTTTCTAATGCTGACCAAAGTAAATGTGTGTTTAATTTCATTTTAACCTTGCATTTCACTTGGCACTTGATACAGATGCAGACTGGCAAAAATTGTTCAGGGAAAGCTGATTGCCCTCCTCGGCAAATACACAAACCCTTCACACCCAAAAGAGCATTAGTAAAAGCCTGAATACCGAGGAACACCTCAGCAATATTTCTAGTTCGTTATTGGGAAAAATTGGGATTTTATGTTTACTCATAATGATTTCTATGATTTGAAAACACAAGACAATA